ACGCTTTCCGGCATGTTTCGGTAATTAGGGCGTAAAAATAAATTACTCTCTCACAAGTATTAAAAATGTGTCAACACGTGCCAAAAGTACCCAGAGTGTGATGAACGCAAATAACCACATTTCGTGCCCGGAATCAACAAATCAGCTCTAAACCATGATTTTATGTGTCTTTATCTCATAGGGCTAATACAAGTAAATAACTACATTTTCTGAAACTTTTGCGGCATTTTTCGTCTCCACAACAGCTGTTATGGCAATTTGACTTTTTGCACATTTGTGCCCGGAAAAAAAGTAGGGGCTGTTTCGGGCACGAAGAAGAAGACATTTACGATCCAAAACAGGAACGTATTCGCTCTCTATTATCCATTTTTATAGCGTGAGGAACGCTTTCTGGGCTGTTTTGGGCACCCGCGGGATCCCGCGACTCCGATTGGCCATTGTATTTTTATGATGTTAACCAATTTCGATAATATTTATTTTCGATGTTTTTGCATCGACCAGTTGCAAAACCGCCTAAATCGCCATTGTGGAAAAATTGAGATTTCGTAACCCTGATCTCCAGGCACCGAGATTTATGAATAAAAATCGTAAATGCGTAACTAAAACAACATATTTGTTTTTCGCTCTCCTGTAAAATTTGAGTGCCGTTAGATAGGCGGTTTTGCATAACGTCGACGATATGCTTTATTAGTCTTACCAAATTTGGTGGAAACCGATAAAGCGGTTATCGATGCACACTTATGTAGTAATAATATGGTGGTCCAACGCCCATTTTCCAAAAAACCTATAATTTATTGTCGTCTTTAGTTATTGAAATACCGGAGTTTTCGTATTTTTTAAATAAACCGTTACGTGGGAAGTGAGCTTAATTTTAGTCCGATTTCAGTAGCGGATTTAACGGGCGGCAAATGGGACATTGCCGACTGGGCCCTCCTCAAAAAATAGGCCAAAAAGGGCCATAAAACTCTTCCAGAACCAGAAGTCTATGTGGATTTATCTGGCTCAAATCGTTGTTGTTGCGTTTACATGCAAAATTGCAAAGGTACGGGATTGCCTTCTAGTAAAAATGAAATCTGTCAATTTCCGCATACACGCATACACACATTCACATCCCTATAAGAAATTAGTGAACGCTTGAATCATTTTTTTCACACTGCTCTGAACGTGCTGATGCAAATGTTGCCTGAAATAAGGTGTCACTGTTCCTGCAGGGAAGTAAATTGCCAAACAGCTGATCGTTTGACAGTTTTACCAGAAGTTGGTGTAAAGGATCACACTTTTAGTTCTACAAAGTTCCAGATTCGCTGATAACGTTGTTGTATTTTCTGTGTGCATAATATTTGTGAATAATAGTGTTTAGTTATTGCTGATTCTCTCCTTTCTCATGTTATTCATATGCGTGCGTGTGTTTTGTCATTAAAGTGATTGTTTCTAGGTACGTGTGTGTGTATAGATTTTGATTGCCTCGCGCTTATGTAGTTTTTGTTGTTGTCTGGCGATAGTTGCAGAGTGATGTTACGAGTCTTGATAACATTTGGAACAGTATACATAGTTTGTTTGTGTTTTTTTCTTTAAACTTATCTGGAATATGCAAAAAAAAAAAACCAAAAATTACCGCGGGTCCAACCAAAACAGGGATCCGGATCCATAGATGTTTCTGCCTCGATCACCTCCCCGCTTAATACTTTTACCGACAATTTTTTTTGTGTATACAACAACCACATGAAAACTTGGCCTTGAGAACTATCAGGTATATCGGGCTTCCGACTACGGATCCGAGATCCTGGAGCCGAAACACGTCTCTGGGTACCACTCCCGGGTGTTTCGTTATTTTTTTTAGCAGTTGTAAGCCAAAGAAACATATACCAACCTCACCTTCGGTTAAAATAGATTTGTGAATCAATGTATTTGAAGATGTATCTTGACTTTCAGCCTTCTTTTTTTGTAAAGTTATAGCATCCGAACTAGTGGCGCTGACAAGTGAACCGAGCTTAGATTGTTTTGGATCATTTCGTGCTTCTTCTAACTTTCGCTTCTCTCTAATTTTTCGTTTTTCATATCCACTTCTGACTTTACTCGTGTTATCCATTATCTAAATCTGAAATATAAAATTACTAGCTTATACCCGCGGGTTTCACCCCGCGTCTTTATACAAATATGAAAAAAATTATAGATGTTAGATTTTATTTCTGTACCCATTTCGTTATAGCTCGTTATTTTTTAAGCGAGTTAAGGTTAAAACTATGAAATTATAAAATACGAAAGATATCAATCCCTCTAAGTTTACCTTAAAATGGTTCCAGGTATACGACGCGTGAACGTGTAACCTTCTTGGAGGTGCCACGGCGGGTTCTAATATTTCCAACTCAAATTTAGTAACCTGGCCTTGATAAAATACCACTTCTCATTACCGTAGCAAATGCCTCAAGAGAGCTTTAGATTATAAGGCCGAACCCGGCTCTCCTTTTTCCCTTTAATGAAATTTATTCTGTCAGTACGGCACTTATAAAAAAAACCTCCATAACATATTTAAAATACTTCGAGAGATTTTCTATCCTTCCAGAGACATGTATTAAGAAGTTTTTAGTGTGTATGGGAAGCGACATGCGTTCTTTTTTAATAACTCACATTTTTTCCATGAGCAATTGATACATTTTGCATACACAACTCCATACCAAGTTCCAGTATCCCTCCACAAACACTTCCAGGGATATGTGGCAAGAAAAAGTAAATTTGTACTGGAAGTGCCACACCCCTTTTTCTTATAACCCTAATCTTCTTCCATGAGTTTATAATTGATTTTACATACCCCCGTACCAAGTCCCAGTACTCTACCATGAACACCTCTAGAGATAACCAGTACAAAACAGTAAATTTGTACGGGAGGAACCATGTCCCCTTTTTGAATAACGCAAATTTTTCTCCATGAGTATGGAATTAATTTTGTATACACATCTCGGTGCCAAGTTCCAGTCCTCTGCAATAAACACCTCCAGAGATATGCAGCATAGAAAAATCAATTTGCATGGGAGTTGCCACACCACCTTTTCCAATAACTCTCATTTTTCTCCATGAGTATGGTATTAGTTTCACATATATACATACATATTAATTTCCATACCAAGCTTGAGTGCTTTACCCCAAACATTTGAAGAGATATGCAATATGAAACATTCAGTCAGTATGGGAGTTGCTATGCCTCTTTTCCTAAAACGTCCATTTTTCTCCGTAAATATGAACATGATTTCACACAGTGTTGGCAAACTGTTAATCTGATTAACGATTAAAAATTAACGATTTATAATCGTGTTTGACGATTAAAACTAATTAGTCGTAATCAACTGTACGATTAATGATAAATTTTTTTTAATCGATAATCGCTGGCTGCGATTACGTTTAATTAATTTAAAACAATAATCGTTAATCCAATTAAAAATAAAATCTGATTAATTTGTCTAGTTTGTCCGAGTTTGAAACCAAACACCAGTTATAGTAATTATTTTGTGT